TAACGCATCAGAGTTTCCACACGGATATGAAGCAGCACAACTGTTTTCAACATTGATAACTCGATATCTATATCTATAGACCCATAATAACCCCTCGTGATGTGAAGTTTGTTATTATAGCAGCAGATCTCAGATCAGTGTTATTTATAGTCGAACACCTGTGGACTCCAGAGACCTGAACAAGATTCAAGAGATCAAAGTCAAACACAGCAACACACTCCACCAGCAACTGGACAAACACAACAACACACTCTGCCAGCAACTGGACAAACACAACAACACACTCCGCCAGCAACTGGACAAACACAACAACACACTCCGCCAGCAACTGGACAAACACAACAACACACTCCGCCAGCAACTGGACAAACACAACAGTAATTCCGATCAGATTCAACTTTATTGTCAATACAAAGCCAACAATATTTAACATGCAGTTAATATTTAACATGCAGAAAACACACACACATCAGTGATTTACCCTGGCATGTTTTTTAATTTTTTATTGCATGGTAATGTTGCCACTTTTTGAGTGTGAGCAAAAACTGACCCCAGAACAGCTGACCCTAGAACAGCTGACCCTAGAACAGCTGACGCCAGAACAGCGGACCCTAGAACATCCGACCCTAGAACAGCCGACCCCAGAACAGCCGACCCTAGAACATCCGACCCTAGAACAGCCGACCCTAGAACAGCCGACCCTAGAACAGCTGACCCAGAACAGCCGACCCTAGAACAGCTGACCCCAGAACAGCCGACCCCAGAACAGCTGACCCCAGAACAGCCGACCTCAGAACAGGCCACCCCAGAACAGCCGACCCCAGAACAGCCCACCCCAGAACAGCCGACCCCAGAACAGCTGACCCCAGAACAGCTGACCCCAGAACAGCCGACCTCAGAACAACTGACCCAGAACAGCCGACCCTAGAACAGCTGACCCCAGAACAGCCCACCCCAGAACAGCTGACCCCAGAACAGCCGACCTCAGAACAGGCCACCCCAGAACAGCCGACCCCAGAACAGCCCACCCAGAACAGCCGACCCCAGAACAGCCGACCCCAGAACAGCCGACCTCAGAACAGGCCACCCCAGAACATCCAACCCCAGAACAGCCCACCCCAGAACAGCTGACCAGAACAGCCGACCTCAGAACAGGCCACCCCAGAACATCCGACCCCAGAACAGCCGACCCCAGAACAGCCGACCCCAGAACAGCAGACCCCAGAACAGCCGACCCCAGAACAGCCCACCCCAGAACAGCCGACCCAAGAACAGCCGACCCAGAACAGCAGACCCCAGAACAGCAGACCCCAGAACAGCCGACCCCAGAACAGCCGACCCCAGAACAGCCCACCCCAGAACAGCCGACCCCAGAACAGCCCACCCAGAACAGCCGACCCCAGAACAGCCGACCCCAGAACAGCAGACCCCAGAACAGCAGACCCAGAACAGCCGACCCAGAACAGCCCACCCCAGAACAGCTGACCCCAGAACAGCAGACCCCAGAACAGCCGACCCCAGAACAGCCCACCCCAGAACAGCCGACCCAAGAACAGCCGACCCCAGAACAGCCGACCCCAGAACAGCCGACCCTAGAACAGCCGACCCCAGAACAGCTGACCCCAGAACAGCCGACCCTAGAACAGCCGACCCCAGAACAGCCCACCCCAGAACAGCCGACCCCAGAACAGCTGACCCCAGAACAGCAGACCCCAGAACAGCAGACCCCAGAACAGCCGACCCCAGAACAGCCGACCCCAGAACAGCCCACCCCAGAACAGCCGACCCCAGAACAGCAGACCCCAGAACAGCCGACCCCAGAACAGCCCATCCCAGAAACAGCCGACCCCAGAACAGCAGACCCCAGAACAGCCGACCCCAGAACAGCCCATCCCAGAACAGCCGACCCCAGAACAGCCGACCCCAGAACAGCCGACCCCAGAACAGCCGACCCAGAACAGCCGACCCCAGAACAGCCCACCCCAGAACAGCCGACCCCAGAACAGCCCACCCAGAACAGCCCACCCCAGAACAGCCGACCCCAGAACAGCAGACCCCAGAACAGCCGACCCCAGAACAGCCGACCCCAGAACAGCCCACCCCAGAACAGCCGACCCCAGAACAGCCACCCCAGAACAGCCCACCCCAGAACAGCAGACCCCAGAACAGCAGACCCCAGAACAGCCGACCCCAGAACAGCCCACCCCAGAACAGCCGACCCAGAACAGCCCACCCCAGAACAGCCCACCCCAGAACAGCCCACCCCAGAACAGCAGACCCCAGAACAGCAGACCCCAGAACAGCCCACCCCAGAACAGCAGACCCCAGAACAGCCCACCCCAGAACAGCAGACCCCAGAACAGCAGACCCCAGAACAGCCGACCCAGAACAGCCGACCCCAGAACAGCCGACCCCAGAACAGCCCACCCAGAACAGCCCACCCCAGAACAGCCGACCCCAGAACAGCCCACCCAGAACATCCAACCCCAGAACAGCCCACCCCAGAACAGCCGACCCCAGAACAGCAGACCCCAGAACAGCCCACCCCAGAACAGCCGACCCAGAACAGCCCACCCCAGAACAGCCGACCCCAGAACAGCCGACCCCAGAACAGCCCACCCCAGAACAGCTGACCCTAGAACAGCCCACCCCAGAACAGCCGACCCCAGAACAGCTGACCCCAGAACAGCAGACCCCAGAACAGCCCACCCCAGAACAGCCGACCCCAGAACAGCAGACCCCAGAACAGCCCACCCCAGAACAGCTGACCCCAGAACAGCAGACCCCAGAACAGCAGACCCCAGAACAGCCCACCCCAGAACAGCCCACCCAGAACAGCTGACCCCAGAACAGCAGACCCCAGAACAGCCCACCCCAGAACAGCCGACCCCAGAACAGCTGACCCCAGAACAGCAGACCCAGAACAGCCGACCCCAGAACAGCCGACCCAGAACAGCCGACCCCAGAACAGCCGACCCCAGAACAGCCGACCCTAGAACAGCCGACCCCAGAACAGCCGACCCCAGAACAGCAGACCCCAGAACAGCAGACCCCAGAACAGCCCACCCCAGAACAGCCGACCCAGAACAGCCGACCTCAGAACAGCCCACCCCAGAACAGCCCACCCCAGAACAGCCCACCCCAGAACAGCCCACCCCAGAACAGCCGACCCAGAACAGCCGACCCCAGAACAGCCGACCCAGAACAGCTGACCCAGAACAGCCCACCCCAGAACAGCCCACCCCAGAACAGCCCACCCCAGAACAGCCCACCCCAGAACAGCCGACCCAGAACAGCCGACCCCAGAACAGCCCACCCCAGAACAGCCCACCCAGAACAGCCCACCCCAGAACAGCCGACCCCAGAACAGCCCACCCAGAACAGCCGACCCCAGAACAGCCGACCTCAGAACAGCCCACCCCAGAACAGCCGACCCCAGAACAGCAGACCCCAGAACAGCCCACCCCAGAACAGCCGACCCAGAACAGCTGACCCCAGAACAGCAGACCCCAGAACAGCCGACCTCAGAACAACTGACCCCAGAACAGCCCACCCCAGAACAGCCCACCCCAGAACAGCCGACCCCAGAACAGCCCACCCAGAACAGCCCACCCCAGAACAGCCCACCCCAGAACAGCCGACCCCAGAACAGCAGACCCCAGAACAGCCACCCCAGAACAGCCGACCCCAGAACAGCTGACCCCAGAACAGCAGACCCCAGAACAGCCGACCTCAGAACAACTGACCCCAGAACAGCAGACCCCAGAACAGCAGACCCCAGAACAGCCGACCTCAGAACAGCCCACCCAGAACAGCCCACCCCAGAACAGCCCACCCAGAACAGCCGACCCAGAACAGCAGACCCCAGAACAGCCCACCCCAGAACAGCCGACCCCAGAACAGCTGACCCCAGAACAGCAGACCCAGAACAGCCGACCCCAGAACAGCTGACCCCAGAACAGCAGACCCCAGAACAGCAGACCCCAGAACAGCCCACCCCAGAACAGCCGACCCCAGAACAGCCGACCCCAGAACAGCTGACCCTAGAACAGCCGACCCCAGAACAGCCCACCCCAGAACAGCAGACCCCAGAACAGCCGACCCCAGAACAGCTGACCCTAGAACAGCCGACCCAGAACAGCAGACCCAGAACAGCAGACCCCAGAACAGCCCACCCCAGAACAGCCGACCCCAGAACAGCTGACCCCAGAACAGCCACCCAGAACAGCCGACCCCAGAACAGCCGACCCAGAACAGCCCACCCCAGAACAGCCGACCCAGAACAGCTGACCCCAGAACAGCCCACCCCAGAACAGCCGACCCCAGAACAGCTGACCCAGAACAGCAGACCCCAGAACAGCCCACCCCAGAACAGCCGACCCCAGAACAGCCGACCCCAGAACAGCCCACCCCAGAACAGCCGACCCCAGAACAGCTGACCCCAGAACAGCAGACCCAGAACAGCCGACCCCAGAACAGCTGACCCCAGAACAGCAGACCCCAGAACAGCAGACCCCAGAACAGCCCACCCCAGAACAGCCGACCCCAGAACAGCCGACCCCAGAACAGCCGACCCCAGAACAGCCAACCTCAGAACAGCCCACCCCAGAACAGCCGACCCCAGAACAGCCGACCCCAGAACAGCCGACCCCAGAACAGCTGACCCCAGAACAGCCGACCCCAGAACAGCTGACCCTAGAACAGCTGACCCCAGAACAGCTGACCCAGGGTTTAAGGGGAAAGGTTAGAGGGGTTCACTGACTTCACTCCTCCCGAAATGACTCACTGAACACTGAAACTCAGATCGACGCTCAGAAAGGAGTGTGACCTGTTAAATTTACTAAAAATAACCTGTCATTTACTAACTCCTCTGTGAAACACACACACACACGACGTCACTGACCGCTGGTCCAATCCGCTTCGGGCCGGTTCGGCTGGTGTTAGAGTGAGGGATGTGAGTGACAGCTGGACTGAGGCACACACAAACACACACACACACACACCCGCTGATCAGAGCTGATCTGGACTCAGTGCAGGTAAGAAGCGTCTGACCATGATCATACATGAACACACACACACACACCCTGGACACATAGACTCATCTGGATACACACTATTGATGACTGAGAATCTATAGGATATTATATCGCATTATTAGTGTAAAATCAGGTGATGCTGTACTTTCTCTCAGCGCTGTGTGTGTGTGTTTCTGTGTGATGGTGTGTGTTTAGTTTCACTTTGGGGAGAAAATAGTTAAATCTGACAACATCATTTAGAAAATATCTGCGGATGAACTTAGTTTAAGAGATTATATAATTTTTGTATTCACAGAGTATACAATACATTGATCAAAACTGAGAGTAAGTGTAAATGTGTGTGTGTGTGTGTGTCCCAGCAGTTTAACAGTTGATAGATTTGTGTTTGTGTTTCAAAGCCAACAACTGTGTAAGACTTGGATGGATGAATGAACAGATGGACGGCTTAATTTCATAATGATCTGATCTTTTTTCCACATCTCTCTCTCTCTCTCGCTCTCTCTCTCTCTCTCAGATGGACCGATCCGCACAAGAGCTGTTCCTGAACTTTTTGGTTGTGTTGATCACAATCCTGCTCATGTGGTTACTGGTCAAACAATATCAGGACTCATGAGGAGTGAAGATCCGCCTTCTCCTCTTCATCATCCTCATCCTCCTCTTCATCCCGTCCAATGACTCCTCCAAAACCAGCACAGATGTTTTGTCCTTATGATTATTGTCATTTATGATTTACTAATCTGGATGTTTTAGGACAAAATTCTCAAATTAAGAGCAGAAAGAGTAGCAACTGATTCAAATTTTATTCGTTTTAATAAACAACTCTTTGGCAATGCAATTGTGTGCTTTTGAGTGTGTGTGTGTGTGTGTGTGTGTGTATGAGTGAGTGAGTTTAGTTTGCGATGGCGTGATCAGTCCTCCAGGGGTCTCTGTAGCGATTGAATCTGATCACCTGACAGTGAAACTCCGTTAACGCTCGCGGCATCGGCGCCACTTCCCGCCACTCTGAGCGCCGGCTGTCGTACACCTGCACCTCGTCCGAGATCTCGTCCGGCGAATAATCCCCGCCCAGTATATAGATCTTATCCTGCGCGACGACAGCGCCTGCGTTAAACCCCGCGCACTCGAACGACCCCTCGCCTTTCCACACGCAGGTGTCCGCGCAGAAGCTGAAGACTTTATACGTGGACAGATCGCAGAGGAACAGCGTGTCGTTCACGGACACGGACTTGACGAGTGTGGCGTGGAAGAACTGTCCGAACTCCGCCACTAGCTGGCACCACTGATCCGCGACAGCGTCATAGCGGAAGAAACAATCCAACGACGGATTGAAGGCTTCGGAGATCTCGACCTCGGATCCGAGAGCGTAGATAACGCTTCCACACGCGCTCGCTTCGGGAAAGTAGATCCCCTTTGGAAGTGGGCTAACGGATTTCCAAATGTTGCTAACGGGATCAAAGTATTCCACATCTAGAACGTTTTTCCCACCGATGGCGTAGATGCGGTGCATAGCGGCGACGCATGTGTGCATGGTACGCGGGTGGTGCATACGCAGAGTTGGCGTGTAGCTACGCGCGACAGGACAGTAGCACCAGACTTCATCTGTAGCATCGTGCTCCGGTGCGGCGATGTGCAGGCGAACCGCGCGACGGCAACTCCCGCGACATCCACCGACGACGAACAGCTTCTCAGCGAAGCCGACGAGAGCCGATCCGGGTAGATCTAAAATGTGTGCCGCATCCTGCGTCAACTCCGTCCAGCGGTTAGCGGCGACATCGTAGCAGAATGTAGACCGATTCTCAGAGCTTTCCTCCGTTTTGTGAACGAAAATGTAGCTTGAAGTCGTCGAAGGCCGAGCATCGGAAAACAACCCGGTGGATTCCCGAGTGCGCGTGAGTGCTTCGCTAACAATGCTAACGCAAGGTCCGTTGTTGGTTAGCAGATGCTTGGTGTCCTCCAGCGTGGCGGCCGGGAGATGGTGCAAACGGACCCGCGGCAGGAGCTCCGGCAGCAGGATCTCACGCGACTGCGAGTCGCTCTGCGTCCAGCGAAGTAACGCGCGCAGGACGCTAGCCTCATCCGGTACGCGGAGCGCATCAGATGCTAAGCAGCGCTCCAGCACCACTGCCGGCATCTCCAGGAAATCCGGTCTGGAGGAAAGCGTGTGGAAGTTATGCGTGACGAACTCTGTGGCGCGACTTAGCAGGTGCGCAGAACCGTATCCCTCCGCGACCGCTAACAGGTGCAGGCAGTTCGAGAGATCCAGGGTTTGGACCAGGAAGTCACTGCAAGCATGTGACAGAAAGCTGACCTGTGCGAATGACAGAGGAAAGACATGCTAAAGCCGTTTTTATTCGTTAAGAGTCAGTATTATTATGACAGCTTGTTACTGCCACGGAATAAAAAAAAATAAAAAGGTAGTTGCGACTTTATATCTTTAACTCCAGTTTATAACTCACATTTTATTTAACACATTGTTTTAGCATATTTTTAGCATTAATTAACAAACCATGTTTATAACATGAAGTAGCATGTTGCACATAACACATTGCTAGCATGTATCTTACAAGTTAAGTTTTAACATTTTGCTAGCATGAATTAACACATTGGTACTATGTTTTAATAAGTTACTAGCATATTTCTAGCATGAATTAACACTTTGCTAACAGTTTAAAACATTTTGCTAGCACATTTTAACACAGCTAGCTTGTTTTATAAGAAATTAGCAAACTGATTGCATATTTCTAAAATTAATTAACACATTGCTACCATGTTTTAGCATGTTGCTATCATGTTTAGCAAGTTCTGAGTTTATAACTTGCATATATATATATATAACCTTTTTTTCTCTGAATTACGAGAAAAGTCATAATTGCGAGATAATTTCAAAAATTTCACCAGAGAGAAAATTTGATTGCATCTATATGATCAAAGACTTATAATTTTAGCAAAGGATCAGAGGAATCTTGTAGGATTTGCAAAATTAGTCTCAGCCGGCCACATCGTGAAATGAATATATATATATATATATATATAATATAAAAAAATCAAAATAGTGTGGCAAGACTAACTGTTAGGCAGTGCTTCACAAGAATGGAGCTAAAGGGCTCTTATCATTTCTCTGATTGGTGGAGATTCCTCTGAAGCATCATGGGTAATGTAGTTTCTAATCAGGAATTCCGCTGTTAAACGTGATTATTTCAAAAATATGTTGAAATGACGCTTTGGCAAAAGCAATTATCACTGATTAAGAACCTTATAGGTTATTATTTAAAATCTATCCAGCTGTGGAGAGAATGAAGGTTCTGAGTTATTTCTCGTTCCTCACCTGCAGGAAAGAAGCCAGTTGAAACAGCATGTCCACGTTGTCTTCTCTGATCTCTATGCGAGCGGAATAAGCGAAGTCGAGGAAAGCGTGAACGGCGGGAGCCGAGAGGTTACTGAGTGTGACGGAGCCGTCGTCTCGCTCACGCGTGTCCAGCTCAAACATGGCCCTGGATGAACACACACACACACCCCGAAAATGAGTTTTAACATTGATAATAATCATTAATGTTTCTTGAGCATATTAGAGTGATTTCTGAAGGATCATGTGACACCGAAGACGATAAATGATGATAAATTCCTGCTTTGATTTCAGGAATAAATTACACTTCACTATATATTCACATAGAAAAAAAATTACGTTTGTTAAGAAAAACCTTGGTGTTTGCGTGAAAAATCCAGTACAGAAAGCTTTTATAAGCTTTACATTTGAATGAGTAAAAGGCTATTCAGACTATCAGATAGTTTAACATGCTTTACATTTTTCTAAAATGATTTAACACTGTTAGCTAATGTTAGCATGTCCCTAACATGAATTAGCACAACGCTAGCATGTTTTAGCATTTTGCTGGCATAACACACTGCTAACATGTTTTTAACATCAATTAACACAAACCATGTTTTAACATGTTTGCTAACATTAATTATCACATCGCCAAATTATTTTAGCATGTTTCTGGCAAGAATCAAGACATTGTTAACATGTTTTTAAAATAATTTAACAATTTTTACATATTATGAACATGTTCCTACCATGAATTCGCACAATGCTAGCATGTTTTAGCATGATTTAACACACTGTTAACAATGAGTTAACATATTGCTATCATGCGTTAACATTGCTAGCCTCTTTTTAACATCAATTAGCAAAAAACATATTTTAACATATTTGCTAACATGAATTAGCCGATGGCTAAAATGTTTTAGCATGTTGCTAAAATGAATTAGCAAACTGATTGCATGTATCATTCTAGCCTGTATTACCACATCGCTGATATGCTATGGGTTGTTGTGGTTTCCAGGGTGTTGCTATGGTGTTCTGACTGGTTGTCATAATGTTACTATGATGAGTTGTGGTGGTTTCCAGGTCGTTGCTATAGTGTTCTAACTGGTTGTCAGAATGTTACTATGCTATGGGTTGTTGTGGTTTCCAGGGTGTTGCTATGGTGTTCTGACTGGTTGTTAGAATGCTACTATGAAATGGGTTGTGGTGGTTTCCAGGGTGTTGCTATGGTGTTCTGACTGGTTGTTAGAATGCTACTATGAAATGGGTTGTGGTGGTTTCCAGGGTGTTGCTATGGTGTTCTGACTGGTTGTTAGAATGCTACTATGAAATGGGTTGTGGTGGTTTCCAGGGTGTTGCTATGGTGTCCTGAGATTGGTTGTCAGAATGTTCCTATGCTATGGGTTAAGGGGGTTGCCAGGGTGTTGCTATGTGTAGTGTTTTTAGCATGTGGTGCGTGTTTGTTCACCTGAAGAAGTCACTGCAGGCCGCGAGAACACAGCGGTGGCACGGGAGCGTCTCCCCCTGCACCCGGATGCGGAAGTCGAACAGCGCGCCCCTCTCCCGGAAATCCTGAAGAACCCCGAGCACGCGCTGGCCGTGTGACGCGCACACCAGCGACACGGAGCGCGCCTCATCATGACGCGCGTCCATCAGATTAAGAGCCAGTCTGACATCAAACTTGACACAATTGACACGTGTTTAGTTGTGTAGCGATATACAAGGTTGTTTGTGGACATTAAAGATGAATAAATATCAGTGTTATCATTTTACAGAGACTTAAATGACTAGAATGTAAACAGAGCTGAATTACCTGAGCTGTTCGCGTTCCTCAGTTGTCCAGTGATCAGAGCTGAAACGTCACACAAATGAGCTTTTAAACTCAATGACTTTCGCATTCTTGCGTATATGAACGATTTTTATGAAGGCGTTTCGATTTAACTTTGAAGAATGATCGACGTACTGACGCTTCAGCACCAGGGACAGCGCGCAGACTCCACTGCGCATGCGCAGAGATGAGCGCGCTGAGTGCTATAGAGGAACTTCATGATTGGCTCTCTTCTCTCTCTCTACATAAGAAAACATGCTTTTGTAAATCATGAGCAAATCGAAATTATGAGTCGCAAAAAATCAGAATTATTACTTAAAATATAATTATGACATAAAAGTTTACATTATCACAAAAAATGATGACAGTCGAAATTAGGATTTCAGTCAAATGTGAAAATAAATCCAAATTATGACGTACTAAATTGAAATTAACTTAAAGTATAAGTCTAATACATGACTTTCAGTCACGATAAAAAATAAATGACATACTAAATCCAAATGATTGAGAGAAAGTGAGAATAAATCTAAATTATGACGTACTAAATAGAAATTATTACAACACAAAAGTATATTATAACATTACTCTAAAGTCATGATAAATAAATTATGAGACCAAGTAAAAATGACAAATCAAAATGAGGCTTTAAAATTAAATTATCATTATGGCATAAAATATCTAAATTATGACACAAATTTAAAATGAAAGTCGGTTAAGAGTTTTAATTATGACATATGAAGTCAATATTTTGAATTTAAATATAAAACATAAAGAGGCTAAATTATGACACCCAGTTTTAAAAGTCTAAAATTAAGACTTATAAAATTAATTATTATGACATACTAATTATAATTTACCAAAGCATGATTTTGGCAAATCATACACATAAATAACAAATAATATTTCTTTTAGAATTGATCTACGCAGAAAGAGAACAGAGACAGATTTGATGATGCGTGGAAATGAAGACTCCAGATTCGTCAGTGAATGAGTTTATTGGGGAAAGGTGTGTGTGTGTGTGTGTGTGTGTGGTCACTGCGATGTGGCCATGATGCTGGAGACGCCTGTGAACACACAGACAACATCAGTCAGACTCTGTGGGACAACAGCAGCTCAACGTTAGGTATCACACACACACACCTCACTCACTTTCTCTCTCTCTCACACACACACACACACTCACTCTCAAAGTCGATCTTCTCCACGATGTTCTTGGGCTTCACACACTCCTCCTGACTGTGGATGAAGATCTGACCGTCCTCGTTCTCCGTCCAGCCGTACTTATTCATCCACACCTTGACCTGTGTGTCTGCGGGAGATCAACAACATCAGTGTGTGTGTGTGTGTGTGAGAGAGAGAGTGAGAGAGTGTGTGTGTGTGTGTGTCTCACCCAGAGGATCCCCCAGCATCTCAGCGAGGAGCCTGTACTCGATGTTCTGATATGTGATTCCCACAACATGACAGATGACTGCAGAGAGAGAGTCATAATAACTGAGATTATGAAGCGCTGCTCATAGACAGGATCAGGTATTGTTATTATTAATTATTAATTTATTTCCAGTGTGAAAGTTTGTTTCTGCCACAGAACTCAAATCTGAGAAAGTGATTACGACTTTATCATCTCAATCAGTTCATCTCCAGTTAAAGACGGTCATACTTACATTTGCGCACCGACTCCTCAAATCCTGTGATGCCGTCGATCAGATCCCGGTTCTCCTCCAGACTGGACTGGGAAACACACACACACACACACACAACTACAGTTCAACACAACCTCTCCTGTTACTGACGTAAGTGCGAGTGTGTGAGAGAGTGTGTTACCCAGAAGCTCTGGAAGTGGCAGGTCTCCAGTAAGTTGCCCAGGTACAGGATCTGTCTTATCGGCCGCTCCTCTTGCTGCGACACAGTAGTCAAGGAAACCTGCGACATCACCTCACACACACACACACACACACACACACACACACCGGGAGCTGGCGATTTTTTTTAATCGATTATTAGATGAATCACGATGCAAAAGATTCTGAATCGATTTACAAATGTAAAAAAAAAAATAAAAAAAATTGGATTTTCAAAAAAGAAAAGAAAATATATATATATATATATATATATATTAGGGCTGTCAGTTTAACACGTTAGGGGTGGGCGATATGGCAAAAATATCATATCACGATTTTTTTAGGAAAATCACGATCACGATTTTTTATCACGATTCTTTTTCAAGTTGGTTTTAATATTTTGCAAGTGGCTGTTCATTACAGCCAAACTAATGTCCCTATGTTATAAACAAAGCCTTAGGTAACAAAACAAAAAAGAAAGGCATACATTTAGGCCAGTGGCGAAGATAAAAATCTTTGTCATTATTTTCTTTGTTATTAAAAAAATAAGACAAGATAAACATTACACAAATTAATATTCTAATTAAATAAATAGTGCTTTATTTTTTCAGATACAGTAGGTGTATTTAGCAGTAGCATTGAAGAAAGTAATTTAAATTAACAAATATGAAATTAAAACACTACATAGACTTCACTGAATAAATTATTGATTCTTATTAAAGATATATTAAAGTTCTCAGTCAGTGAGTGATTTTCTCCTTGTGTTTTTTTGTTTTATTAACACTAAAGAGATAGTTCCCTCAAAAATGAAAATGGTCTTAATTTAGTCTCTCAAGATGTTTTAAACCCGAATAAGTTTCTTTCTTCTGTTGAAAATGAAAGTTATTTTGAATAATGTGGGTAACCGAACAGTTGCTGGTCCCCCTATAGTTTTTTATAGGTTCTCTCCTGGAAGTTAAAGGTGCAATGTGTAACAAAGTTGAGTATCTATTAACAGAAATGCAATATGACATCCATAACTATGTTTTCAGTGGTGTATAAAGAACTTACTTAATTAGCCGTAATGTTTTTATTACCTTAGAATGAGACATTAATAGCTCCATAACCGAGGGAATCCCCTTCTATGAAGGTCGCCATGTTGTGACGTCATATTCCTACCGTAGCCGAACACGAACACACAGTGCTACAGAACGCGTTTCATCACTACCTTGAAAGAGAAGTAGCGGAAAGCTGGAAGCTAGCCTTACACTCCGTGAGTAGTGACTTTTGCCTTGTGAGTGGTGTAAAATATGTAGTTGGGATTGTTTCATGTAACTTAGTTCTCCCTCGCTGTGTTATGGGTTTGTTATGTTGGGGATAGATGTGCTGTTACGTTCGTGAGACAGCTGATGATTAGTATTCATGTCATTGACCGTAAAACAGTACGTTACAGGAATCACTAACCCGTCGATAGAGACTTTTACTAAAGTCTTTTATCACTAAAGTCGATCGCGAAGAATTTTAAAAATCAGAGAAAAAAAGCCTATTGTGTGTAGTAAATAGTATCTATGGGATGCGGAGATGACATGATTGTAACAGCGCGCGCACTTCCGACCTTTGGACTCATGCAGACGCGTCCCAGCTCAGCCACAGCAACAGCTCATATTAGCCAGCTAAACTATTACAACCCTGTTAGAAAAAAATATATAGCTGCTCCCTCGCTGTATTATGGGTTTGCTACAGTATGTGGGGATAAATGTGCTGCTGGTTACGTTTGTGAGACAATCAGCTGATTATTATTTTATTAAATTATATATTAAAACCCTTGATCCTCACCTGACTATGGCTTTGTAAACAGACAGTATTCATGATGTGGTTTATAATGGACTGTGGTACAGAAACAGTGACAATGTTACACACTCTTGGCTTACTCTGGCTATTCTCTGCTGTCTCAGCCGACGAGATGTTTGTCCCGTTTTAGCAACCGTAGCTTCTTCGAAAGGGAGGGGTGAGCAGTGGGCTGAGCCCTTAGTGCAAACCTGGTGCAAACTCGCAACCGAACCACTAGATGTCGCTAAAAGTCACACATTGCTCCTTTAATGGGGACCAGCAACTGTTTGGTTACCCACATTAAAAAAAAAAAATCGTCTTTTGTGTTCAGCACAAGAAAGAAATTAATACAGGTTTGGAACAACATTAGAGTGAGTAAATAATGACAGATTTTTTTTTTTTTTGTGAACTATCCCTTTAAGGACAAGTGATTCCTGTCGCAATTAGACCAGCACGCGACGCGTTTAATATAGACGCATATTACACTAGATATTCTCTCAAATGTTTGCTTTCACTTTAGACATAGCCTGTTTATGTAAACATTGTGTGTATTTAACAGTATTAGCTTAATAAGACTCGAAAGATAACTTAGTCCAGTATTCAGGCGCTGTTTGACAGACTTGCCTGTGAGCGTCGGGGATATGCGGTCAGGAAAGCGCACGTTAGAACAGCGCATCAGCGCGTGAATTAAATATTAACCGGCAAGGCTTATGCAAATAATAATAACTTTTGTGAATTGCAGTGTCCCGTACCTATTCATTAACGTGTGATCATGTCTAGGCTACGTCGCGTTGTACAGACGGCGCCAGAACTGAACTGATAGAATGCACTGTAACACGATACTACGATATTTCTTCAAAAGCAGATCGTGGAGACATTTTAATCGTCCACGATAAAAAATCGTCATATCGCAAACCCCTACAACACGTTATTAACGGCGTTAACGCAAACCCATTTTAACGGCGTTAATTTTTTTTATCGCGATTAACGGTCTTTTTTGTCCTAGCAAACTTTGTAGTTGTTTCACATGCTTTTGCAACAGGACGCGGCATGCGTTTATTTTCAATAATAATTTTTCCACTTTTCCATATTGATAAGAACATTAAAATGAGAAAAAAATAATGTAACAAAAAGAAATCAAGAGACATTTAGAACACATAAAAATGTGCGATTAATCGCGATTAAATATTTTAATCGTTTGACAGCACTAATATATATATATATATATTAACGTAATATTGACGGAACGCGAAAGACGGAACTCTGAAGCGCGGAAGTGCAGTGGCCGGACCGTCTGTGGCGCGCACATAACAGAGGCACGACGGCTGAGCGCGAGATCCAAACACCCTCCGCGTTAAAAGCTGACGTGTGGAAATATTTGGCTTCAGAAGTTGAAGGAGGAATGGAGCTGGACAAGAGCCACATTAGTTGTAAGCTTAGTAAAATAAAACTAAAATATTTTGGAAACACGAAAAATATGAGAAAACACTCGTGTGTACCGGCCGTCGTTATAATATTAAAGGGTTAGTTCACCCAAAAATGAAAATTAAGTCATTAATTACTCACCCCCATGCTGTACCAACCCCGTAAGACCTTCGTTCGTCTTCGGAACACAAATGAAGATATTTTTGATTAAATTTGAGAGCTGTATAACTACCACATTGGCTCCTAAAGGACTGCCTCTTGACGGCCCAGAAAGTCAATGAAGAAAATGTTTAAATATCCCAAGTGACTACCGTGGCTCAACTATATGTTTATCAAGCGACGCGAATACTTTTTGTGCGAAAAAACAAACAAAAATAACGAGTTTATTCGACTATTTCTTTTCTTCCTTGTAGGCCAGAACGAGACTTCCTTAGATTTCCACGACGCATGCGCGAGATTTGCGATCTGCTCACACCAGCTTACACTACTTCAGATCGCAATTCTCGCGCATGCGTCGTGGAAATCTAAGGAAGTCTCGTTCTGGTAATAAGTAATTAATGACTTAATTTTCATTTTTGGGTGAACTAACCCTTTAATTTACATCAAATTCACTACACGCCACAGTTTCAACCAAAAACGTAAAACTTGTCAATGTGTTTTGGCCGTTTGTTTACACGACAGCGGCGTTCTGTCGCCTGGAAACGCAAAAGCGATGAGGTCATGCACAAGCGTGTCACGTGTTCATTCTGCAGCGTTTCATCGCCATCTACTGGCCGGCAGAGGAACACAGCGCTTTTAGACGTTCTCGCGGAATCGTTTTGAGGACGGAAAATCTTCTCAGTTTTGGTTGTCATGTAAACGCACCCTGACACATCGACCGGCTTGATGAACATCATCCCTTACATATAACACTACAGTTCATCACTGCTAAGCGACTCTCTCGTTTGTTGTTTGATTAGTTTGCTTCACACAATACATTGGGCCGCCGTCACTTTGAGACGAACGCACGCATCCAGTGTGTGCGTGACAGGAACTGGAGTGTGTGTCTCCTGAAGGATACGTGGGTCTGGTCGATCATACACTTGCAGAGTGTGAAGTCAGTGTGAGGAAGGTTAGTCAGAGCCTTGAGCAGAATCTGAGCCGTGACGGTGGTCTGGAAGTACGCCGGGTTAAACTGGTACCTGAGAATGGACACACACACACACACACACACACACAACAGGGTTCGTAGAGATACTTGAACTACAATCAGAGATCTCACTATAGGGGTGTCGAAATAAATCGTTTCTACAATGCATCGCGAGCACGGCCAGGTTGGCCTCCAGGTCGTAGGGGTTCTCTCTGGCCTGTGTGTGTGTGTGTGTGTGAAACTCACAGTTTGAGCACGGCCAGGTTAGCCTCCAGGTCGTAGGCGTTCTCTCTGGCCTGTGTGTCCACGTACCGCTCCAGTGTGGACAGGTTCTCAGGGTTGTATCTGTGCAGATTATTAATCAGATCAACTCAAGCGTCCGGAGACGATGAACGTCACAGTTACTGAATCAACATTGATCTGAATAACGACACTACTGTCTTCTGTAGAGCTCAGACCTGTGTGTGTTTGTATCAGAGCTCAGCTCACTATTGCCCCGCTGAAAAACAGGCTTGGGAATCGGACACTTGTAATTAAAAAATTATTAATAACGATTCCTTTGTTAGCACCTCAATATGACTTTTCGAACGACTCGAGAGCAGTTTTCTGCTTTCATAAAACACTGTTTATTTCAATCATAATTTTGTTCAGTTGTTGCGATTTCTCTTTTTTTTTTATATAGTGTTTACTTGTCTTTAATAATGCTCAAACTTTATATTAGTTTTTTTTCTATAGTGTTTTCTAACCACACCACAGGCAAAGGGTTCTTTATTGTGTTTATTTTTGTTCATTGTATTCAACTACAATTAAATGTTTTGCAATAAGACGAAATGTGAATGATATAAGTTATTTTTTTCTATTGGAAATCGATAAGAATCGGAATCTATCAAACAAATACCTACTGAAACCCCCAGCTAAACCAGCCTAACCTAATTGGACTGGATTTAGACACTTATTTAGCAGAATAATGCTGGTTTTAGCTGATCTACCAGCTTGACCACTATAAGACTAGTCTGTTCAGGTAATAAAACCCCTCTAAAATTATTTAAAACCACAACACTAAGTTAGCTCAGGCTGGTTTCAGCCTTTTCCTCTCAGGGTTTGGAACTTTAATAATTAATTCATTGAATCTGTCGACAAGTCGCACAAGTAACTTACTTTCTATGAATCAGTTCTGTTTTGCGTTAATAAAGCGCTTGTAGAGTGGTGACAGACTCTGGTGTGTTTTATTTACTGTTATAACTAACGTTAAAGATAATTAATCAACAATGCAGCGATCATCTTTAACGTTAACGTTACCTGTCGATGCCCCGCAGAAGTTTGCCGACGTTCGCCCTCAACTGCTCAAAAGTCGTGGCCATGATTCAAGATCCGAGTGTTTATTCAACTTATATATATTTATTTATTATTATAACGTTTTTATATACGTTTTTTCCTTTATTTCCAGACACTCGGATCCTCACGAGCGAAAGAGCGGCGCGTGCGAGTGGCAGAGACCGACGTCATCAGGCGCGCGACAGTCACGTGACTCGGCCAGGAGCGCGCACGGTTTCTGTGAGAGCGCCGCCGCGCGCGAGGACGGTGCCATTGCATTCAAATGTAGTAGTAAATACAGCTTTTATGAGTGTGTGCGTTTAATAATCATATCATAAAACACACCCTTATTCATTAAACATTTCAGCAGATGCTTCCATTTAATAGTTTAGCTGAATAATAACAACAATAACTACCCGGAATGTTATGAAATACAGACCCAGAATAAAAATATGTTTAGTTTTGAAGTTTGAACCCTGTTCTAAATATGTGTGTGAGTACATTTAATCTGCATTGCATAATCAGATTCCCAAATAAAGTAATTGTAAATAAATATTACGTTTTAAAAAGCTCATGTTGATGTTAATTAATGCATGAACTAATGTTCCTCGGCCGTAATAAAACAAATGACACGCATGTCTAGAGAAACTGAAATGATACAGGCAGAATTTGATTTATTTGTAACATCGCCAGCACAATAAAACACAACCCAGAGAAATGTGTGTGACATCCATTTATTACGCAATTCAGAGAAATTTCAAATTACAAAGATCACTTTATTTAAAGACCTGAATGTTGTGTAGTCAAACTGTGAATGAGGGAACTTAAGGATTAAATGATAATGTTTCCATGTTTGCCTGAGGAATCCTGTGACGGATGAGTAGAAAACTGGCGGGAAAATTTGTGTTTTCCCGCTCAAATGAACGTGTTCCTATCAAAAGCTCTTGAGAAACACAGACCAATACATAATTATTACTATTATTATTACTCCCGGAGCCGAATCACAGAGTTTGCCTTGAGAAAAATAATCATGAAAATGTCTTTATAAGAATCTTAAAAAATACGCTCTAGATCTAGGAAACAAGCTTATATGAATGCATTAAAAAAAGAAAAAAAAAGACACACTTTATAATATTGCAATAATAAACATTTGCTGGAGACGAGAGATGCTCAGATTTGTATAGAAATGCCCGTGCTGATTGAGCGGACACACACACACACATATATATATATATATATATATGCTCAGGATGGGCGGAGCAGGGAATTCTGGGAAGGGTCAGGGCTTGTTCTAGCACCCTGCATGAGAGGCCCTGACACCCTGAACGCAGACATCAGCCCTGACCGCTTCACTCTCGTGTGTGTGTGTGTGTGTGTGTCGCATCAGTCGCTGGCTGGTACATGCAAACAGGAAGTACCCTAATAGTCTGTTGCCATTAAACAGAGAGACAACCACGTACGTCAACGCCACCATATGCTAAAACTACATACAAACAGTGAGAGAGAGAGAGAGAGAGAGAGAGAGAGAGAGAGAGAGAGAGTTTAGGCTCGTTCTCCACGGATGCGGCGTGCCAGCTGGATGTCTTTGGGCATGATGGTCACACGCTTGGCATGGATGGCACACAGGTTAGTGTCCTCAAACAGACCGACCAGATACGCCTCGCTGGCCTCCTGCAAACACACACACATATTTTTTGGGTTTTAATTGGGTTTAAAACATTTATTTTAATATTTCAAGTTAAACTAAATGTCTAGTGTTATTAAATTTTATTTTTAATTAATTAATTTCTATATGTTTATTATATTTTTAGTTTAGTAATTGTAAAAAAATGCAATTTTTTTATTTTTTTTATTTCGGTGCATCAAGATAAACTAAATAAAAAATACTTCTTTTTTTTTTTAAAGATGTCTATTGTTTGAATTTATTTTTATATTTTTAATTAATTTTAATGATTACTTTTGATTTATTTTGAACTGAGAAACTTGTCTCCGGTGTGTGTGAGTGACCTCTGACCTGCAGCGCTCCGATGGCGGCGCTCTGGAAGCGTAAGTCGGTCTTGAAGTCCTGCGCGATCTCTCGCACCAGACGCTGGAACGGGAGTTTGCGGATCAGCAGCTCCGTGGACTTCTGGTAGCGGCGGATCTCACGCAGAGCCACGGTACCGGGCCTGGGGGACACACAGATACGTTAGCATTAGCTGCGTCAGACGACACACAGAGCTGTTAGCGTTAGCTGCATCAGACGACACACAGAGCCGTTAGCATTACCTGTTTTAAACGACACACAGAGCCGTTAGCGTTAGCTGTGTCAGACGACACACAGAGGCGTTAGCATTACCTGTTTTAAACAACACACAGAGCCGTTAGCGTTAGCTGTGTCAGACGACACACAGAGCCGTTAGCTGTGTCAGATGACACACAGAACTGTTAGCGTTAGCTGTGTCAGATGACACACAGAACTGTTAACGTTAGCTGTGTCAGATGACACACAGAGCCGTTAGCTGTGTCAGACGACACAGAGGCGTTAGCATTACCTGTTTTAAACGACACACAGAGCTGTTAGCGTTAGCTGTGTCAGACGACACACAGAGGCGTTAGCATTACCTGTTTTAAACGACACACAGAGCTGTTAGCGTTAGCTGTGTCAGACGACACACAGAGGCGTTAGCATTACCTGTTTTAAACAACACACAGAGCCGTTAGCTGTGTCAGACGACACAGAGGCGTTAGCATTACCTGTTTTAAACGACACACAGAGCTGTTAACGTTAGCTGAGTCAGACGACACACACAACTGTTAGCGTTAGCTGTGTCAGATGACACACAGAGCCGTTAGCTGTGTCAGACGACACAGAGGCGTTAGCATTACCCGTTTTAAACAACACACAGAGCCGTTAGCGTTAGCTGTGTCAGACGACACACAGAGCCGTTAGCTGTGTCAGACGACACACAGAGCTGTTAGCGTTAGCTGTGTCAGACGACACACAGAACTGTTAGCGTTAGCTGTGTCAGACGACACACAGAGCCGTTAGCTGTGTCAGACGACACACAGAGCCGTTAGCATTACCTGTTTTAAACGACACACAGAGCTGTTAGCGTTAGCGGTGTCAGACGACACACAGAGCCGTTAGCATTACCTGTTTTAAACGACACACAGAGCTGTTAGCGTTAGCTGTGTCAGACGACACACAGAGCCGTTAGCTGTGTCAGACGACACACAAAACCGTCAGTGGCGGTCATACGACACACAGAACTGTTAACGGCGCTAGGCAAGAGAGAGTCATTAGCGTTAGTTGCGTCAGATGACACACAGAGCCATTAACGCTAGTCTCTGACGACACAGAGCTGTTAACTTTAACGCCGTCAGGCAAGAAAGCCGTTAGTTAATTGCATCAGACAACACATAGAGCCGTTTGCATCAGCTTCGTCAGACGACACACAGAGCCGTTAATGCAAGTCTCCGACGACACCGAGCTGTTAGCATCAGCTACATCAGATGACACACAGAGCCGTTAGCGGCATCAGATGTCACACAGAGCCGTTAGCATTAGCTGCGTCAGATGACACAGAGCCGTTAGTGGTGGTCAGCAGACACAGAGCTGCTAGTGTTAGCGGTGGTCAGCCGGCACAGAGCCGTTAGCATTAGCCATTAGCGGTATCAGACGACACAGAGCCGTTAACGTTGGTCAGACGACACAGAGCTCTTAGCGTTAGCGGCTTCAGATGACACAGAGCCGTTAGCGGCGGTCGAACGACACAGAGCCATCGTCTGGCGTCAGACGATAAGATAGCTGTTAGTCTCTGACGACACAGCGCCATTAGCGTTAGCCGTTAGTCTCTGGAGAAATAGCGCCATTAGCGTTAGCCGTTAGTCTCTGGAGAAACAGCGCCATTAGCGTTAGCCGTTAGTCTCTGACGACACAGCGCTGCGTGTGTGGCGTCCTCACCTGTAGCGATGGGGCTTCTTCACTCCTCCGGTGGACGGGGCGCTCTTACGGGCCGCTTTAGTCGCCAGCTGCTTACGAGGAGCTTTTCCTCCAGTCGACTTACGCGCAGTTTGCTTCGTACGGGCCATCCTGACACACACTCACCTGAAACTGAATAACAAGAACTGATAAGAATGTAAATGTGTACCTTGAAATGCAATGTAATTCGCTTTGGATAAAAGTGTCTGCCAAATGCAAAAATGTAGATGTAAACAAACGAACAGACTAGATGATGTTGAACAGTCACATGACACAAAGGTACCTCAAAGAATCTCTCAAAATCATGTTATGATACACAATGACAAAAGTGACCATTAAAAATAATAATATAGAAATATATAGAAACTGCTATTTATTTATTTAAATCAAGTGTATTTTTTTTGTTTCAATAATTTTAATTTATTTTCACGAAATGTATTTTCTAATTTAAAAATATATATATATTCATATGGATACATTATTTTAAATAATTGTTGTTATTATTTATTTAATTCAAATTGTATTATTTATTTTAATAATATGTTTTTGTATATCCTTAATTCATCAATTTTATTATTTTATTGAAGTCATTTTTATTATTTATTTTTAATTTACTTACGTAAATTTGTATTATTTATTTATTTAAATATTTGTATTAATTTTTAGGAATGACAAATTAATTCTTTAGTTTGTTTCTACAGTTTTTCACAGACCATATTCAACTAAAACACAATTATAAAAGTGACCGTTAATATTAATACATTTCTGAAGTCGTGAATCTATTATAAACATTTCCGTATTGAGTTTGAACTCCTGCAGGTGCTTAAAACAACAACAAGCTCCTCGTGTCAATCATGTCTCAAAGGTCAGCCTCGCTGTCCTAATATTCATGAGCCGACCAATCAGAGCACAGGAGATAAGCCAGACGGTTGGCGCTAGCCACGCCCCTCATCTGTGAACATCATGGCGCCTGTTTAATACGAACCGTAAACTGACCAAGAAAAAGACACGAACTAACGAGAAAACTTCGACAATTTCACTGGGAATATCATCACTGTTCTCGCCAATTACTCTCGGACAACAAACAAAAGACCCTAGGGATGCATCCTCGGAGGTTTAAATCAGGAATGGAGGCGTTTATGTGGATTTTCGGCGTTTGTGAAATATCAGTTTATTTTGGATGGATTTTGAGGCTCGCGCGACTGAAGCGCTTCAGTATTTCTCTGATATAAACACAGACGCGGTCAAATTCATTAGAAATACCACAAACACGTTTTTTTCTGACTAAAATAACAATTAAATATCACACATTCATAATCACACGGACCTATTGATCTTACCTTAGTGGAATTGTGTTTAAAGAGTGGTTAGAGTTGAGCTTCAGTATTATTTACCGTCTCTCGCGCACAATGACAGCGGAAATGCGCCAATCAGCGGCTCCCACAATGCAAAGCGCTGTAGTCTCTCCACCGGTGTGCTCCAAAATTCATCTGTTTCGGACTATATTATTAATTTACATGTATTATTATCGCAATTCATCCTGATATCAAACACATGATCAAAGCACCCCACTTTCATGCGTAATCTATTCTGTGAAAAATTATAAAAGATTTTTTTATAAATGTGTTAAATATTTTACTTGTACTGTTGGATTTATTTATATTTTTTGACAGTGATTATTGTTTTTTGAATGAACTTCTATTTGTTTGTATTTGTAAAGTAAAAAAAGTATTTAATAATATTTGTATTATTTATTTAAATCTATTTGTACTATTTATCCATTATTTTAATAAGGTTTTGATGGGTTTTTTTTAATTTACTTTTATTTTAATGAAACTCATTTAAATAAATTTTTATTATTTGTTTGTTTTAATACTTTATTTTTATGAAATTTGTTTAAATCAATTTCTATTATTTATTTTCATATTTTTTTATTTTAATCAAATATTTTTCAAATGTTATTATTTGTATGAAATGTATTTATATAATTGTTTTATTTATTTTAATCAAATATATAAGCCAATTGTTATAGTTGTATTTAAATATTTTTATTTATTTTTAATCAAATGCATTTATTTAAATAGTTTTTTTTTATATTATGTTTTAATCAAATGTATTGAAGTAAATTGTATTTATGCTTAATTATACATTTTATTTAATCATTTTTTAAAATATTTTTCCCATTAAAATGTATGCATTTAAATTAAGTTTGATTATTTATTTATTTTAATCATTTTTATTTTTTATGAAATTTATTTAAATTCATTTACATTATTTTTTATAAATAATAAATTACTATTTATTACACACTGTTTTTCTCTGAACTTTTTCACGGACCCTAGTTTTTTGTAACTGAATTTTCGCTTGAGTGAAGAAAACATTACATGAAAACATGAAACAATGAACTACAACACATTATCATGAGATATCACATGACTATCATGTGACATACACATAAACTGCCTGTGGAAACAAATCATTACAGAAATGACATCCATAACATTTTTACCAGAGAAAATGTTATTGGAGGAGAAATACTTTAATAAAACAGAGCCCTCAAAAACAGTTCAACACCAATTTATTATTTGTGTCGTACAAAGATTTGCTTCTTAGACGTACAAAAACAAAGAAAACACAATCGATCACTTCGTGATAAAAACCATGAAAGGGTGTAGAAAAATCCTGAGTGAGTGTCTGCCTAAACATCGCACTAAACAACTCATGAAGAAGTACATCAAATGGTATAAAATAGCTAGTCTGTTGCTACATACGCTCATCAATAACACAAGATTCAGTGTGTGTGTGTGTGAAGAGGATGACTGGGACACAATCTATCCCATAATGCATCACTGGAATCACACATGAAAGAAAATAATAAGCACCCGAAACGAGTCCTGCACCGACTTTATTCAGACCTGACTTCACGAAACCCAGTGATTTAGTGCCTCGAGTCCTTCAGTCAGAGCCACGTGAACACACACACACAGATGAAGGTTTAGGCTCGTTCTCCACGGATGCGGCGTGCCAGCTGGATGTCTTTGGGCATGATGGTCACACGCTTGGCATGGATGGCACACAGGTTAGTGTCCTCAAACAGACCCACCAGATACGCCTCGCTGGCCTCCTGCAAACACACACACACATATTTTTTGGGTTTTAATTGGGTTTAAAACATTTAGTTTAATATTTCAAGTTAAACTAAATGTCTAGTGTTATTAAATTTTATTTTTAATTAATTTATTTCTATATGATTATTATATTTTTAGTTAAGTAATTGTAAAAAGAAAAAAATGCATTTCTTTAATTTTTTTTTATTTCAGTGCATCAAGATAAACTAAATGAAAAATACTTTTTTTTAAAGATGTCTATTGTTTGAATTTATTTTAATTAATTTTAATGATTACTTTTGATTTATTTTGAACTGAGAAAGCTTGTCTCTGGTGTGTGTGAGTGACCTCTGACCTGCAGCGCTCCGATGGCGGCGCTCTGGAAGCGTAAGTCGGTCTTGAAGTCCTGCGCGATCTCTCGCACCAGACGCTGGAACGGGAGTTTGCGGATCAGCAGCTCCGTGGACTTCTGGTAGCGGCGGATCTCACGCAGAGCCACGGTACCGGGCCTGGGGGACACACAGATACGTTAGCATTAGCTGCGTCAGACGACACACAGAGCTGTTAGCGTTAGTCTCTGACGACACAGCGCCGCGTGTGTGGCGTCCTCACCTGTAGCGATGGGGCTTCTTCACTCCTCCGGTGGACGGGGCGCTCTTACGGGCCGCTTTAGTCGCCAGCTGCTTACGAGGAGCTTTTCCTCCAGTCGACTTACGCGCAGTTTGCTTCGTACGGGCCATCCTGACACACACTCACCTGAAACTGAATAACAAACTAGATGATGATCAGCTGGATTTTTATTAACTAACATTAACAAAGATTAATAAATACTGTAACACGTGTATTGCTCATTGTTCATTCACGTTAGTTAATACATGAACTAGGATACTAATTAACCTTATTAGTGTTACCCAAGACGTTTAAATATGCAATATTAACTGATGTAGATGTTTACTATTTGACTAGCAAAATCCAATTAACATTTCCATTAAGATGCTCAATTGCACTTTTAAATACACATTGTCTTATTTTTGAAGTGTAATTAATTTAAAAATAAATGTACACAACAAAAACATGTAGGTTAATATTACCACATGATAAATAACAACAAATTAAACAGTCTTTACATACATTAGACTTAAATATAACAGTTTAGGGTACAAAAATGAGCATTTCTAATATGTTGGCCTATTACTGTAATTGTATATCTGTATGATTATTATTATAATTATTTCTTAAAGAGTTTAAGAATGCAAAATAATATTTATAAGACTTTTCGTGATGTTTTGGCAAAGTACATTGAAAAAAATAATTAACAGAAATTAATAAAATTTTTAGTGTGACACCCAATTTTTAGTGCGACACGCGAGCTACAGGCCAATGGGCGTGGCTTCAGTCACTCCACACCAATCAACACCCAGTGTGCACATCCAGCCCCGCCCCCTGTGCGGAAACATAATGGCTGCTAGAAATGAGAAACAGATAAAACAAACAGCAGTTTATCGAGTGAAGCACAATAAACAAACGACACTATTTCCAGCGTATTACAACAACATGGATCGCGTTTAACGGCGTACAGTGGTAGCGCACACTTGTCAGCAAGTGTTTTTATATAATCTTTGCGAGCAAAAGTGTGAGAATGAGTTTAATTCATCGATGGAAAGCGACAGAGATGATAGTGAGCGCGCGACGCGTTTGTCTCACCTCAGATCGAGACCGTTTTTACAGCGGTTTTCCCACACGATACTCAGAACGCGTATAAACGTGATGGATTCCCGTCCTCGTTAAACGGGCCGGTGTGAAGTGTGTACCGGGCGAGGACTCACCTGTCTCCGGGTGTTTGAGAGGTTGTGTTCCGCTGCGAAAGGGTTTTGCTGCTTTAAGAGAGTTTGAGGTGAAATGGCTGTTAGTCTCCCATCATACACCGCGGCTCGCGCGCCTCATTACACTAATCACACACACCATAGTGTTAAAGCACAATTTTAAAAGCAGAATCATTTTTTTTTTCACTACGTTAAATAAACTATTTTTGTATCTTTTTGGTCAATGTACTTCTGTATAAGCAGAAAATCTGAGAATGACACGCAAAAGCAACACAGTAATATTTGTTTTGCAAAAAAATGGCTAAAATCATAATTATGACATACTAAATCGAAATTATTACATTAAAAAGTCGAACTTAAATTCTTCCTTAATGTAATAGTGACAAAAAGTCGAATTAATGTCATAAAAACAATTAAAATTATGAATTAAATGGCCAGTACACTCAAAACTCAAGTTGTTACAAACCTGTATGAATTTCTGTCTTCTGCTAAACCCAAAAAAAGACATATTGAAAAACTAAAAAGTTTGTTCTCCAAATTATGGAAGTCAATGCCTTACAACTGTTTGGTTACAAACATTATTGAAAATATATTATTTTGTTTTCAGGTTAACAAAGAAATGTATACAGGTGTGTAATAACATGAGATTGACTAAATGTTGACAGAATTTTACATTTTTTGAGTGAACTATCCTTTTAGAAAGTAAATTAACAAAAAGTTTAAATTATGACAGAACATCATAATTGAAACATAATGTACAGACACCTATTGTAAAGTTGAACCAAACTTACCAAAATTACATATTTAAATGCTTTTTCCTCGGAAAAAAAATTTGCTAACTTTCACACGTTGATCTGATTGGTTACAAGGTCGTTTGTGACGTCAGAAACACCAGCGATTTCACACCGTGTTTTTGAGACTGTCTTTGGTTCACTGCAGTTTTAAGGAGGAAATACTCAGCAATGCTGTCGACTTATGAATTTACACATGGTGTGTCTTAAAACATATTAAAAAGACCACATAGACACGTAAACAACACTAACAGCTGGATTTACACCACATGAGGGCTTTAATACAAATAATGATTTATCAATTGGTTTTTATTTGTTATTGCACCTTAAAGTTGTTTATACAGCGAATCCACACTAATATTTCAACTTTTTTTGAAAATCAAACATCACATAACGGTCTGGATTTACATCCTAAACAAAGCTAAGAATAACAACTCAACAAAAGAGCCATGCTTTGATAAACGTTTCTGTACGGTATTAGAGGTATCAGATGTTTAGTACACATAAGGCACCAGTTTGTGCGGCACTCGGCGACAGTACTCTCTCCAGGCGTCGCCGTGCTTCTTCAGGCACGAACCCTCGATCTCGTTTGCTCGTTGCCTCAGTAAGTGGAAGCACTGCAGCGCCGGCAAGTACGGCACAATGCTGGAGAACCCTGGAGAACAGACAGATTTATGAAGGTAAATTCTAGAGTTATTTAAGACCAAGTAACATAACTTTAAGAAACACCAATATGTTCTCTAAATGGAAATATGGAAAAACAGTTTTATTTGTTTGGAAATACATCTTCCAACAGATATCTACGGAGGCGTATTGCATTCACTTGAAGAAAAAAAATCTACTCTGTTTTTCTGAATTAACGAGTTAATTTTTCATGAGAAAAAAAAAATCGCTCTGTTTTTCTGAATTAATGAGTTAATTTTTCACGAGAACATTTTTTTTTTGCTCAGTTTTTCTGAATTAACGAGTTAATTTTTCATGAGAAATTTTTTTTGCTCTGTTTTTCTGAATGAATGAGTTAATTTTTCATGAGAACAAATTTTTTGCTCTGTTTTTCTGAATTAATGAGTTAATTTTTCACGAGAACATTTTTTTTTTGCTCAGTTTTTCTGAATTAACGAGTTAATTTTTCATGAGAAATTTTTTTTTGCTCTGTTTTTCTGAATTAATGAGTTAATTTTTCACGAGAACATTTTTTTGCTCTGTTTTTCTGAATTAATGAGTTAATTTTTCAAGAGAACAAATTTTTAGCAAAAAAAATACATGAAAAATTAACTCGTCAATTCAGAAAAACAGAGCAAAATATTTTTTTCTCATGAAAAATTAACGAATTAATTCAGAAAAACAGCAAAAAAAAATTTCATGAAAAATTAACTCGTTAATTCAGATAAACAGAGCAAAAACTTTTTTTCTCATGAGAAATTAACTCATTAATTCAGAAAAAACATAGCAATTTTTTTCTCATGAAAAATTAACTCGTTAATTCAGAAAAACAGAGTAGATTTTTTTTCTTCAAGTGAATCCAATACGCCTCCGTAGATATCTGTTACTTTTGAATTAATTTTACACAAAAAGAAGAAGCTTGAATCGTTTTGCTCAAAACCACTACAATATGGAAATATATTTTACTGAACCAATTCTGATCAAACTGCAAAAAAGATTTGAAAGATTCCTAAATCAAAATACATTTACTTCAGATGTAAAGTACTTGAAATATGAAGTCTTCATTTCTGTGAAATTTATAAAAATTAAGTTCATGAATAAAGCAAGAACACAATCTTGATATCTACCAACAGGCTCAGAAAAATCTGCTTAATTTAGAAGTTGACAGATATTTATTACATTTTTCAAGTCTTTATTTTACATTTGCATCTCATGTAAATTTATATTGATTTAAACTTAAAACAGTACAAAAACACTGAGAAAGTATACATTTTTTGCAATGCATCCTGCCATGACTTTAAAACTAATTTGTGGCATTGCAAATTAAGACTTTAAAGCTTGCAGAAACCCTGCAACTGATGTGAATGATTCAAAGCTCGTACCGCAGGGGAGACACCAGGCAAACATCATCAGGATGTCTCCTAGATAATTAGGGTGTCGGACCCATCCGAACCATCCAGAAACCAGGAGACGTCTTCCTGATGGGCTTCGGATTGTGTGCAGACCTTTGAAAGAGACGTTGAGATCATGCATTTACTTTTATGCATGTGAGAGTTCGAGTAAATGTCAAATAAAATCTCAATCTTATTCTTGGCATGCAATATAGTAAAAATGGGAATGTGGAGAAAATAAAACAACTGTGTTCTGCTGCCAGGCCAGTAGGTGGCGATGTGACTGTGAAGAAACACTAAGTGCCTATTGAGCATGTGATAACAAACGGATCCACTGTAAAAGCAAGCATGATGAGAAGATGAAGATGAATATGAAGATGTTACACATACTAGCGTAGGCCGGGTCGTTTGGGTTTCTGCGGAAACCGTCTTTCTGCTCATTGGACAGGTAATAAACCAGGAAGCCAATACCTGTCAATTCATTTCACTGAGTATTTGAACAACAACTAGATTGTAATCAAGTCTTCATGAATAAAATACTGTTGATAATGTTGCATTCTCATGTTTCTTTCCTAAGGCCGCATGTCCACCAACACAGTGTTTTTAGACGCTTTGCTATGATAGGAATATCCGGGTAAGTGTTCCTGGTGTCTCATTTCACAAATGGTTTGTTTCCGTGTTGTTTCTATATAAAAACGTCAAAACAATGTAAAATATTTGCTTTTTAAATTATTTTGCTCCGTTATTATGCTTGTTGTCGTTGAACAAACAGGATGTGACGGTTGGTCGGTGTTGTATTAGCCCCGCCCCTCCCCCACTGTGATTGGACGGCTGGGTAAAAAGTTACAGTGATGAGCGCTGCGTTTTACCCAAAGTTAAACATTTACAACTCTCGGCGACCAGCAAAAAAAACACAGAATGCTCAGAGGTTTAGCGTGGAAAAAACGCAAAAAACGTTTTGCGTTTTCAATGCGTTTTAAAAACGCATTGAAAACAATTGAAAAAATACGACAGCTGCGTGAAAAAAAAACACTTTGGTGGACACACGGCCTATAAACGTGAGATCTGATGGCTGATTGATGAAGATTAAAATAGCAATAATAATTAATATTCTCACCGAAGAGCAAGCAGATGAAGACGGCAAACAGGAAGTGGATCTGATTGGGCCTCTGAAGCAGGAAGTAAACAGGAAGACTGGAGAAGAACGGGATCCAGATGTACTCGCCCAGAATCATGATGAACCCGATCGGCTCTTCTGTGAACTCTTTGGTCGTCAGCACAGACCCCTAACCAACCATCAGAAAAATCACACAATACAGCAGAATGACTAATAATAACAATATAATAATAACAAATTACATCAAATATGAAATAAATGGGATATTTCATAAAAGAAACCTTGGATGGAGCAATTTTTTATCCAAAAAAAAAAAAACGTACATGCTCACTCGAGATCATGGTTTCATCCACTACGATGGAAAGACATTTACTGAATGAATCCCTCGATAAACTCATGTGACTGGCTCAAGCGTCGGCTGTGATTGGATAACCGGCCTAAGCAGCGGACCAATGGCATCGCAGCATCTCTAATGTTGGTTTGGTGTTTCTGAAAGGATGTGATTAGATGATTTGGTGTAATTCCCTCCAGAAGCGTCTCACACACACACACGAGTGTGTCCCCGAACGCTAGAGAACACGACAGCGTTTACTGTGTTTCGTCTGACGCTCTGAGACACACTCGTTTATGATGGAGGGAAATATGATTATTTTGTTCTCTTGAACACATGGGATGGAAACGCTGCTTTATGTGCAGATGTTTTATGCCATATTCCAATTTTATGCAAAATTTCGCAACTTTGGATGGAAACACAGCTAATGTACAGTATAGAATATGTTTCACATGTTCTGTCAGTTTCTTGGTTATTCGAACATTCCATTTTCTCATTAACGTTACTTTTGAATTTTCAGAATGATGATCAAATAATAAGCCAAAAAGAAATCAGTGTGGCCTGCTGACCTCATCGATGAGGAAGTCCAGTATGTAAATGAGATGAAAGATGACCACCAGCAGCAGAGAGAGAGACAGCGAGGTCTTCGTCTCCACAGCGGTCAGGAGATAATTCAGATCCATCATGGCCTGCAGGACAAACACACACTCATCAGTCACCGCTTATGGCAAGCCGTTTTAGCTTTTATTCATTTCTAGGATATGAATTCTTGATATCAACAATTACATTCTTGATATCAGCAATTACATTTTTGATATAAAAAATGTCATTCTTGATATCAACACATTTTAGATATCAACAATTACATTTTTGATATCAAAAATGTAATTCTTGATATCAACAATTGTATTTTCACTAGTGAAATGTCACCATAGGCTATGGCAAGCCGTTTTAGCTTTTATTCATTTCTAGGATATGAATTCTTGATATCAACAATTACATTTTTCGATATCAAGAATTTAATTGTTGATATCAACAATTAAATCATTGATATCAACAATTACATTCTTGATATCAACAATTACATTTTTGATATCAACAATTTTATATTCACTAGTGAAATGTCACCATAGGCTGCCATTCAAAACCAATTGTTGATATCAAGAATTGATTTCTTACTAGTTGAAATTCCAATTTCACATATCAGAAATACAATTATTACCAGTAAAAACCTTTATTTTTGATATCAATAATTAAATTGTTACTAGTTGAAATGTCAATTCTTGATATCCACAATTGAATTGCTACTAGTAACAATGTTAATTTTTGATATCAATAATTCTATTTTTACTAGTGGCAATGTTAATTTCTGATATCATGAATGTGATTGTTACTAGTAAGATATCTGAAATAATATTGATATCAGAAATACATTTTCAGATATCAAAAATGGTAATTTTTACTAGTTGTTGATATCAAGAATAGACATTTCAACTAGTGACAATTTAATTATTGATATCAAAAATGATATTTCTACTAGTAAAAAATCAATTCTTGATATCAACAATTCATTTTGAATGGCAGCCGTTTTAGCTTTTATTCATTTCCAGGATCTGAATTCTTGATATCAACAATTGAATTGCTGATATCTGTAATTGTATTTTCACTAGTGAAATGTCACCATAGGCTGCCATTCAAAACGAATTGTTGATATCAAGAAACTAGTAGAAATATCATTTTTGATATCAAGAATTCATATCCTGCGAATGATTAAAAGTTAAAATGGCTTGCCATAACCGCTTTCTCACTGCGCTCAGAGAACTCATGAACACACACACACTGACCCAGCCGATGAATCCAACCCTGACCATGACGAAGTGTTTGACGTCGATGATGCCCAGACGAGGGTCCATATTCTGACCCAGAATAAACTTCAACAGGGGATCCGCTATAAAACACACACACACCTTTGATTTGAACACCCTTGCGAGCAGTGTTGTAACTCGTTACAAGTAACTTGAGATATGTAATCAGATTACTTTTTCAAGTAACTTCAAAAATGGTACTAATTAACGCAATGAGTTACTTTTTTGGGGAGTTACGCAATATTGTAACTTTCCCCAACACTGCTAGTGTGTGTGAGGTGTGTTGCACCTGTGTCGTCGTAGTGCACCAGTGCGGAGGCGTGTGTGTTGATGGGACGCAGGTACAGCGCCAGGCTGAGCAGAAGAGAGACAGCCATGCCAGCGCTGACCAGAGAGAAGATCCGGTCCGTCACGGCGCCGGCCCGCAGGACCCCACAGAACCACAGCGCCCATAACAGAGCCGCGCTCAGCAGGAACGCATACAGACCTGCAGCAGAACTCCTGAATTCAATGATTTGGAGGGTGTACCAATACTTTTATTGCTGTATTATGAGGTGATTTGTACGGAGGCGTATTGCATTCACTTGAAGAAAAAAAATCTACTCTGTTTTTCTGAATTAATGAGTTAATTTTTCATGAGAAAAAAAGTTTTTCTCTGTTTTTCTAAATTAATGAGTTAATTTTTCGTGAGAAAAAAAGTTTTTGCTCTGTTTTTTCTGAATTAACTCATTAATTCAGAAAAACAGAGAAAAACTTTTTTTCTCATGAAAAATTAATTCAGAAAAACAGAGCAAAAAAAAATTTTCTCATGAAAAATTAACTCATTAATTCAGAAAAACAGAGAAAAACTTTTTTTCTCATGAAAAATTAATTCAGAAAAACAGAGCAAAAAAAATTCTCATGAAAAATTAACTCGTTAATTCAGAAAAACAGAGAAAAAAAATTTTCTCATGAAAAATTAACTCATTAATTCAGAAAAACAGAGAACATTTTTTTTTTCTCATGAAAAATTAACTCATTAATTCAGAAAAACAGAGCAAATTTTTTTTCTCATGAAAAATTAACTCGTTAATTCAGAAAAACAGAGTAGATTTTTTTTTCTTCAAGTGAATGCAATACGCCTCCGTAGATTTGTGTTTAATCTCCTACCGTTGAGTTTGTATTTTAAACGCTTTCCATTGCAGCCCATCTTGCCTTCGGTCACCTGCAAAGAAGAGGATGAATGAATGATAGACGACTGGTTTACACAGGAAAGCTGTTGTTTCGGGTCTCACCTGTCCCACAGGTAGATGATAGAGCGCCCCCTGCAGGACGGTGAACAGCAGAACCACACACACAGATGTCCAGTCCCAGATGGACCCGCCAGAACCCAGCAAAACCCAGTCAGAGGAGGAGCGACAGCAGTCCAGCAGAACTATGAGAGAAACACCCAACAACACACACACCAGAGACAGATCTGACACACAAACACACACACACATTAGTCATTAAAACAATTGATAACTAATTAATACAAATAAGTATCTCTGGATACATTTCATATTTGATGTATTTTTATATTCTAAATATGAGCATGCACAATGAAAAAGCAAATGCATGACTTGTAACTTATAGTAATAATAAAATGAGTATAACCATTACTGTTCTTATAATGCAGTCTTATAATACTTTTAAATAAGTATAAATGGGGCTATAATGCATTATAAGCATGGTCTTCGAAAGTATTCATTACTTCAATGAGCTCATTATTTATAATACATTGTTTAAATTAATACATTTCTGAAATGGCCCAGTTACTTCTAATAACAGATCACTCTAAAGTGTAATGGTTCAGTAAAGCTTCTTTCATGTTAGATTGTGAAAAGCGCTGTACAAATAAATGAATTGAAAAAATGTGAACTTACGGATGTTGTTCCATTTACTGTGGACTTTAACGACACGTTTGCCTTCATCATCCTCATCCTCCAGCTTCAGTGTGTGTGATCCGTTCCTGCGCGGCTGCAGGACAGTCCGAAGTGTGTGAATAAATACAGAGCGAATCTGGATTAAACACAGGATTTCGTTTCACAAGCTCACCTGGTGTTCCTGTGCATGGATGAACTCGTCCACAACCATCGTGCCAGCTCAAATAACACTGATGTTCACGAAAGACTGAGGTTTTTATGCTGCACACACACACACACACACACACACACACACTACTGACGCAACGAAAGTCGCAATAGCACAGAACGTTCTAACGGACAGTCGTGTTGAGTTGCACTAACTTCCCTCATTCTGAAGGAAAGATCTGATGAAAACCTCACATGCAAATCCCCGGGAACTCTGGCTAACGTTCTCCTGACAAAGTTCCGACCGTTATTAGAACGTTTTTTTTTTAATTTTATCTGGCCTTATAATAATATTAGATGGACGTTCCATCTAACGGTTTTTAAATGTTAGGCCTACTTGTTTCAGAACGGTCAGAGAACATTCAAAATTAACGTTCTGTTTGCAGAAATTGGATATTCCCTTAACGGTCGCAAAACGTTTAAAACAACTAAAACGTTTCGAACGTTCCCTAGTGGAAAAAAAAGTTTGATTGTATTTGAAAAATATTATAAATTTCCCCTTTCTTAGGCTACATAGCAAACTAACAATATAGGCTACTATAACAAAATATACTGACAATTTTTGTTTTACAATATAGGCCTACCAGTAAAGGACAGCATTTTACCCCTTTTTTTCCAAAATACAACTTTTAACACACTTTAAAATAATTGTATTTAAAATAATTAATGTTCTCAAAATGTTAGCACAAAAACAAAGAGCACAGCAACGAAATATTTTAGTTGGACGTTCCATCGAACGTTTTTTTTTTTTTAACGTTACTAGTTTTAGAACATTCAGAGAATGTTGTTTGCGATTCAAACATCGGATATTTCGAACGTTCGGTCAGATAAAAATATTGCCCAACTTATTGGGAATTTTACAAATACAAAAGTCATTACAAATAACAATGCAATGCACGAGTATTTGATGTTTTAATAACAGATTCCCATATACAAACTGTATTTCGTGATATTGTTGGCCACGTCACCAGACTCAGGCATATAACCGTGTGCTAAATAAAAACACATGCAGTGGAGATTCAATGATTGTAAAGGAAAGCGGTGTGGAGGAATGGATTCTCCAATCAAATCGTCCTTTTTCATACATTGACGAGGCTCTGTCAAAAGTTGGACTTGGACACACACACACACACACACACACACACACACACAATGAGACAAAACATCTGTCAGAACTGGATGCATTTGCAAAAAAAAATAAAAAATGAAAAACGAATGGATGGTATTATGAAAGTAGTATTTAAAAAAAAAAAAAACGTACAATAAAAATACACAAAATGTTCCAACATCCACTAATATTGGTCCATTGCATTTCTCAAGTTAACAGCAAAAACTATGACAACGCTACAGTCATACAAAACAAAAGTCCCAAAATATCTGAGATAAAAAATTATAATAATAAACACAAATGAGACTTAAGTGTTAAGCATACATACTGTCAGGGGTAAAACACTGTTTTTTTTCACATAATATTCTGCGAATAGCTGGGAATGATCACATATTCAGTAGCTTGGCCTTTGTCTAAAACACAAGCTGCCTGTAGGAGAAGAAACACTGAAGTAGCCGAAATCTCATGATGTAACACATTCAGGCTACAGCCGGGGCAATGAGAGTGTTATTCTAGTCTAGAAAGACTCAATGATCATCACTTCACTACTAGTGATTTTATTCAATCCTAGCATCACACTACTGAGTGTTCACTACAGAGAAAACAATCCGTTCGTCAGTCAGGATCATAAAGACACTCCCGGCTAGAAGGGAATGTTCTCTCGAAGTTAAGAACAAACGCTCAAAAGAACGTTCGTTCAAAATTATCTGGTCAAAAACATATTTTTTTTAGTTGGACGTTTGTCTAACGTTTTTTTAAATGTTACTACTTGTTTAAGAACGTTCAAAGAAAATTACAAATTGAAACGTTCTCATAATTCTCAAACGAGAAAATGGAATGTTTGCGTAACGTTCGAATAACCAAGAAACTGAAAGAACATGTGAAATCCGCTGTGTTTCCATCCAAAGTTGCGAAATTGTGCACAAAATTGGAATATGGCATAAAACATTTGCGCGTAAAGCAGCGTTTTCATCCTATGTGTTCAAGAGAACAAAATCATTGGTCCACTGATTAATCAATCAATCAAACTTTGTTAAAAAATGATCCACCTCAATTGAGCGCGTACGTTTTTAAAATATTTGCGTTTCCATCAAGCGCTTTTATATGCGATATCCAAGAAACATGTGGATGGAAACACAGCTATTGTATGTAGATTCTGTTAACGTGATTTTGAATGGGAATAATCATATTCAACGGCAAACATTCAGCCGTTTGATACTTTCGAGAAGTCTGCATGACGTAATACACACTTCAGATTTCTGATAATTGTCAAGCTCAAATCAACATGTTAATGTGCAAAATTTTGCAAGAGGCATAGCAGGTGTTGGGATAGCGTTTACTCCGTGCTACAAGAGTTCACCGTGGCGAGACGTTCCCAGATAGCAAACTGACATTGAATCAACGTGGAAATATGACATCGAAACAACGTTGATTTGACATTGTTTTGCTCATCGAATTAACGTTGAACCAACGTCAGACGCGTCATTCTTTCAAAACTAACGGAAAATCAACTTGAAATCAACATTATGAAAGCAAACCAATTTTCGATTTTCATTTAGCTTTGAAGAATGCCGCGTCTGACGTTGGTTCAACGTTAATTCGATGAGCAAAATCAACGTTGTTTCAATGTCATGAGAGACGTCATTTCCACGTTGATTCAATGTCAGTTTGCTATCTGGGTTCTGTCTTCGATTGCATCCGACAAGGCAAATTTCACAGTCACGCGAACACGGCGCGATTTCATTCAGCTGTGACGTTCTTTAGCTTGGCAAAAACTTAGCAAATGTATAAAATCTCGCGGTATTGCCATTTCCAGAATATCTCTAATCTATGAAGTGGAAAACTCGTCTAGCGGTTGGGCGAATGTACGCAACTCTCAATGGCAAAGCAAATGCACTTCCCCATCCAACCCGATCTCACGACCAAGTCGTACGAATTCGACGAATGATTAAAAAGTGGCTAATTCGTAACAATTCATACGACCTCACTCGTACGAATTAATACGATTATGCTAAATCATACATATTTTACGAATTGGCCCATTCGTATGAATTCGTACGAATGACCTACCCCTTACCCCGCCCCTAAACCTAACCATCACGTGGGTTTAGACAAATCGTACGAATTAGACACTTTTTAATCATGCGTCGAATTCGTACGAATTGGTCGTGAGATAGTGTTGCCCCATCCGACAGCTCGTGAAGCACTAGCACACAAGAACGATAAATCATCAATCCCCCTGCAATCTGCAAACATTCAATGCATCTGTCGCTATGTACAATATAGGATCTTCATATATTAATTATTCGAGTTTATTATTCCATTATAGAGTAGTCTGAATATGTACAATAGAAGACTCAATGATGAAATAAATAAATAGAAAGTGAAATGGCCGTGGCTTTCGCAGTGTTATTCGCTAAAGAAGTGTTCCTGCAAAGAAGAGTCTGCAGTTTGCAGTCTGTCTGCGCATCATGGTCCCGTGTGCATTTACATGTGACGTTAATGTGCAACGAAAGTGTGGATGGAGGACACATTTGTGTGTAACACTGGCTCCGTGCTCTCAGGATGAGGCTTCGGCTATACGACGGTCCCGCTCGGCGAGTTTCCATTCTGTGCCGACAGCGGTTGAGACGGATGCTGGAGCAAAAACACAAGAAACAGACTGTGAAGCAAATCTACTGTATTTTATACAAAATATGTATTTTACTAAATCATTTGGAACTTAAGGGTTAAAATTCTGTCAGTATTTACTCACCCTCATGTTGTTCAACCCCGTAAGACCTTCGTTCATCTTCGCAACACAAATTAAGATATTTAAGATATTAAGATCGCTCCTGCATACTAGTCCATAGGCTTCTTGAGGGAATGACTCGAAAAGTCATTAAAGACATCGTTAAAATAGTCCAAGTGGCTCAATCTTAAGTTTATCAAACGACGAGAACACAAAAACAACAAAAATAACGACTTTATTTCAACTATTGGTTTATTTCTCCCTCTGCGCGAGTCAGGTTACTAGTTTAATAGCGTAAGCTTCTGTTATTGTACGTCACACGCATCACACACATGACCAGCGTCGGCCAATAGTGAGCCTACGTGTGACGTAGCTTTACGCAATCACACTACGTTAACTGACTACAGGCCCATGGAGAAGGAAGTGAATAGTTGAAATAAAGTCGTTATTTTTATTTGTTTTTGCGCACAAAAAGTGTTCTCGTCGTTTGATAAAGTTAAGATTGAGCCGCTGTAGTCACTTGGACTATTTTAACGATGTCTTTAATGACTTTTCAAGTCATTCCCTCAAGAAGCCTATGGACTAGTATGCAGGAGCGATCTTAATATCTTAAATATCTTAATTTGTGTTGCGAAGATGAACGAAGGTCTTACGGGGTTGAACAACATGAGGGCGAGTAAATACTGACAGAATTTTCATTTTTGGGTGAACTAACCCTTTAAAATTGGTACAAAATCAAAGTTATGTCTAAGCAAGTTGTGTTCCAAATTTGAAGTAATTAGCTCAAATAGTAGAGCGTTGGCGCTTGCAACGCTAAGGTCATGGGTTCGATTCCCAGGGAAAGCAAGAACTGATAAGAATGTAAATATGTTCCTTGAAATATGACGCAAGTCGCTTTGGATAAAAGCGTCTGCCAAATGCATAAATGTACAAGTCAAATTTGAATTGTGTGAGATTTTGTTTAGGCGCAGTACCAACAACAGCCACCGCGTTTAATGCCCACAAATATATGTCACAATATCACCTCTGACACAAAACAGCAGGTAAATATTCAACATTTAGTCTGTTTCGTCTTGATGTTTTCCTTTTGTTTAAATTTCTATTTCTATCCATTTATTTTTTCTATTTTCTATCTATTTATTTACTTGCATTTGGCGCACTGCACGTGTATTTTGAAGTGTGCTTAGATCAGGACTCACCGCTTTGCCGGGTCGAGCCCAAGTGCAGATGAGGCCCTCCTGGCACGCGGTGATGATGCAGTCGTTCATGAACACGAGTACAGTGAGTCGCTCGTGGGCGATTTTCTTGCACACTAGCGGCTCCAGCAGCGGCACCTCGTTCATGCGCGGACACAGCGTGGTTCCCAAGACCTTAGCGCCGTCTAGCCGGTTGCTACGAGGCGCCACGTTGATCTTATCGTTACTTTTGCTGATGTTTCCGAGGCTGTGGTAGCGCTTGTGCTCCTTTTCCCCTCCGACCCCGGATTTGTCCGATTTGCGCTCTTGCAGCGATAGCGTAGCGAAGCGTCCGATGCTAAACGGCGTAGGTCCTCCAGCGGCGGCAGCGCCTCCGCTAACCGCGTTGCTCTCCGTCGCCCCCTGGGTTTTTGAGGTGTTTGCGACGGCAGGGTGCGGAAGTGAATTTGAGCGCGACAGCGAACGAGGTAAG